ATTTTGATTTTAAGGCAAATTTGTCAAATATATAGCCCACCTAGCTTCATTTTTGTGTCATACAACTTATACCTCAATCCATAGTGTATTCTCATTCACAATTTTTGTGCACCAAAATATATATTTATATATTGAAGACATAAGGAGGATTGTTGCATTTCATTTTCCATGAATTTTTTGAAGTACCCTCATATTTATTTTGGGCACTTTGGCATTGAGAATGTACAGGTGGCCCACTTATGCTCCCTATGTGGTCAGCATTTTTTTTTTTGACAGGCAGAGTGGACAGTGAGAGAGAGAGACAGAGAGAAAGGTCTTCCTTTGCCATTGGTTCACCCTCCAATGGCCGCCGCGGCCGGCGCACCTCGCTGATCAGAAGGCAGGAGCCAGGTGCTTTTCCTGGTCTCCCTTGGGGTGCAGGACCCAAGCACTTGGGCCATCCTCCACTGCACTCCCTGGCCACAGCAGAGAGCTGGCCTGGAAGAGGGGCAACCGGGACAGAATCCAGTGCCCTGACCGGGACTAGAACCCGGTGTGCCGGCACCGCAAGGTAGAGGATTAGCCTAGTGAGCCACGGCGCCGGCATGGTCAGCATTTTCAAAATTAAACAGATGAGTAAAAGCAACATTATGAATTCCAGTGTGTTGGCCAATTATGGATGGAAACAGAGTCAGGACACTGTGGGAAGGGGCATTTCTGGATAGGCTGGATAGGCCTGCAAACTCTCTCTTCCTGTGCTATCAAGTGGTAGCCACACATCAGATATTTAGTGTTAATTCAATCATATTTTCATTTTCCTGAGGGCATTTGGCATGCAAATTTTTTCTCCCAAGATGACTGAAAGGATTTGCTTTTGGCAAAAGTGATTACATTTACTTTGTGTGATCTCTTTTGACAATGTACCATGGACCTCTCCCCAGAAGAGTATGTGGTGTCAGTGTTTATAAAATCATCCATATTTCTTGCATACTTTTTTTTTAAATCACAGACTTTAGCCTCCTTTAAGCTGATCCCTGGATACCAGCTCCAGAATGGAAGGACAAAAGGTTCTTGGGGGTTCAGGAAGTTAGAAGTTCAAGGCTTCTCAGAGTTAGGGTGTAGGAATAATAGTCTTAACATGGCTTATTCTCAATGTCTATTATTTCATGAAGTATGTCTACACTGGGTAATGTAATAAAAGCACTCTCTTTCCTGGTCTCTGATTCTTTTGAAAATTTTCTAGTACATTAAAGGCAAATGACCTTTAGGAGAAAAACAGAACCTGCGGTTTTCTGTGAAGTTTAAAAATTGTTCTTTCTGACATTTAATTTTGGCCTATTGGTTAGCTTCGGCTCCCATTTGACCATAGGAATCCAAGAAGAATTCCAAACAGATAGTAAATATTCTAATTGCACTTGAACATTTCCCTAGAAATTGTCCTTTAGAACCCATTTCCCATATTGTTTTTAGTTCTGATCTCACTAACCTCAAATCACTGTATTAAATGGACCAAATGAACGATAATTCATACTTTTAAAACTTTGCTCTATAACTTTTGTTTTTTGATGTAAAATAAATAGAAAATACCAAATAGAATGGAAAACCAAAAAAACTCTAAATAAGACTTCAGAATCACATATACCACTTTTTCCCTAAATGTCAAATACATAACATACATTTTTCTATGTACAATTAACACACATTGTTATATATACAATGTCCATTGGTCCAGTGCTTTACCAATGCATAAGTAAAACATTTTGGCTTTCAGAAATAGGACACTTAGAATTAGGGAGAAGTGAGTTAAGGAGATTTTCAACCATGTGCCACATAAAGAAAATATTATGCATTTTAAACTATAAGATGTACTGGAAATACTAAAATGTCTTTTTTCTTTATTAATAATATCAAGGTTTAGTGACATATATGGTCTGCAGCACATCACATCTGCACATAAATGAATTGCCTTGGTCAATCATTGTTGCTTACTTTCAAAGAAATATTTGGTTTTCTCCAAGAGCAGTTTATGTCATATGCAAAACTGCCAAACTATTGTGAAGCTGTTAGTTTACCAAAAAAAAAAATTTTTTAAAAAGCAATAAATAAAATGCGTTTATGTACTGCAGAATGGTTTCATCTCCTTCTAAGTATCAGCTAGCCTTGTGCCTTTTCCTCTCCCCACTAGTAATGCTTTTGCTTCTGTGAAGTGATTTATACTTGAACTTCTGATCTGTGTTTTATATAATCCATCAAGACAGGAATCCTACTGCATGGGAAAAGTCATTAGGAGGAAATAAAAATCTGAAACACATTGGAGTTTTATTTCACTGGTGCTACTTTTATTATATCAAATGCAGTTCTGACAAGCTACATTCTGCTTGGTTGGATGCCTCCGTTTTCCAGTCAACCGGCTTATTCAGAGAAGAGTGAACGTTCATTCTTGCAGAAAAAAATCCATGCTCCGAAAGAGGATGACAATGATGATCATCTGTTGTAATTGGGAGTTAACAATGCAGGATCTGGGGCTGCTCTTCAGATCTGCTAAATCCGTCTGCATTTTAAGCAGTGGGCTCTGGTTGCTATGCTGTTTTTCTCTCTGCAGTTACCCCTTGCACCGAGAAAGGAAGAGATGGGCTGGGTCTCTGCCAGTTACTGGCCGCAACTCTTTGCATGGTAATACACATGATGTCAGTTTTAAATAACTAGCAAACTCGGATTTACCTTAAATCTTGACAGGTAATATGAAATTCATTTTTATGAAAACCAGCAAGTCGTGCATTGGCAAAATGATTGATTTAGGCAAGCTGGCTTTAGGGAACTTCAGAAAGTTTGTAGAAAATGGAATTAGGACGTAAGTTTATTTTGGTGCAAAGAAATCTGAAATCCATGTATAGATTTTTTTTTGTAAAGTACATTTTCCATGAGCTTTTTGAAGACCCCTCATGTTTCTTGGGGTGTCTAGCTTTAGGGACATCCAAACATTCCAGCTTTTTGCTTCGTGTGTATGGAACTGATTAGAATCAGGAATCAATTTCAGGTATCAAGAATAACTTTTGAGTATTGCATTCTCTAAACTCTTCTCTTTGTTTCTATGACAATGAAGATAAGCACATCTTCACTGTAGGAAGCTCACAATAGAAAGGAGAAAAGGATTGAGGAGAGCATTCTAATTCTGATACAGATTTCTCTTACTTGAACTGACAACACACTTTGAGCTAAATTCTGGTTTCTTCTAGATTTCTGCGTAAATCTAATCCCTTCCTTACCTCATGCCAGTTTTATGTGAGGGAAATAAACTGAGTAAATAATTTTATATGACAAAACTTTGATAGAAGCATAAAGGATGGCATAGCTTTTAAGACAAATGTTTACATTTCATGCTGGCTAATTTTGTTAGCTAATGTTTCATGGTGCTAAAAATTCATAAATACTAAAATGCTAATTTAGTAAAAGTGTGACTTGAATAGCCTCGAGTATGTCACTTCCTAAATTTTTATTGCATTTTCCTCTTTTCCCTCTTGGCTTTACAAAATAAGACTGGAAGAAAGTTAAGGACAAAAAAGAAAATTTGTAGAACTGTGTCAAAAACTAAATATTCCAAGTTTTCTAGAAATTTGTCAATATTTTGTTATCTCTTGATTAACTTATTTTCTGTCTTGGGGTTGGTGTGTTTTCTAAAGTTATTGCATTTTCATCTGGCAGCACTAAGGGGTTGGTTGGTCTTGTCTGGACTCAATGAACAAGTAGGCTAATGTGTATTTTTGATCTTGAGACAAGTTTACACATTAGTTATAAATGAATTCTCCCATTACTTCAAAATGATTGGTAGAGCTTTGCTTTATTAAGTAGCAAAACACACCCGGTATAAACATAGAGCAAACTGTCTTTCCACGTTTTAGGGCAGTGATTTTAGGATTCCTGATGATGTGGCCATGCCTTGTTTGTCATTGGAGACCAAAGGCCCGACACTTGGTTGTGGGCTAAATACATGTTGACTTAAGTATTGCTGTTGATAGTTCTATGTGTTGTTGATGGAGATTCTGAGGCAACGCCATCTTTAGGGAAGAGCATTATTTATGGGTGAACTACAATGAATGAGTGGCTGGAAAAGCACAGTATTCTCATGTCTTGATTGCACCTTGCTTTCTCAAATTACCATAGCACATGCATTAGTTGTTACTGCACCTCCTTCCACCTGTCGCTGAAGACATGCTGAGGGCCACAAGCACCCACAGAAAATGCAGGCATTCTCATCAGATTTTCTTTTCTTTGAAAAAACTATTATTTTAATTTTACGATTGAGTGATTTTTAGCGTTTTGCCAAATTCACTTTGTATGTAGATACTATATACGTACATATATAAATACTATGTTTCTTGAAAGCCAGGATAGTATTATCACAAACTGTGGGATTTATGGCAGTGATCATACAGTGGGGAAATAAAGGTTTATTGTCATGTGCATGGTATAATTCAGTGAGCAGTATTTATAACTCCATGCCAAATAATACAACATCTACACAATTTTTATATTCTGTCTATATTAACTTCCACAAATAGGAGAAAACGTTACTATTTGTCTTTCTTTAAATTTTGGAGAAAAGGGCCTTCTCTCTATATATAAAGTTCTATATAATGTTTGTGGGAATGCAAATTAATGGAACCATCATAGAAAACAGTATGGCGATCTCTCATCAGATGTTCACATATTGGTATTTGTAGAGTAGCTCATGATTGATGATTTCTTTTTTCCTAGAACGCCCATGAATCGCTGATCTCATTCAAAGAAACTATTCTCCTCCCCACAAACATTAAAGTAAAAATATGGGGGTCTTGCTCTTCTACAGTTGCCTAATACTTACTTGGTAATGAGTCTGGAAATTAAGTTCTAGTTACTTTGTGAAATATCTGTCTCTTTCTGGGCCATATTTCCTTAGGAATAGAATTGTTTTCTAATTAGTTTCGTTTGCACTGATTTCACTCTGAAATATTTTACATTTCAATTCGATTTTTCTTTTTTAGCTGTATTTTGGGGTGATATTGCCTTAGATGATGAAGACTTAAATATCTTTCAAATAGATAGGACGATTGATCTTACACAGAATCCTTTTGGACAGTTTGGACATACCACAGGTACAGTTGATTTTTTCATTTACTTTGTGTTCCTTTTGTATGAAATATACTTTTTGAAATTTTGTAGCTACACTGAGTCATTTTCAATGTTCCGAAGATCACCTGTGGTTTCCTGCACACAAATAAACATATTACGAAACTGAGATTATATTCATATTTTTCATCATGTTAATTTAGTCAACACGTTGTAGTGTTCACACTGTACAGACCTGGCTTAGACCATATGGAGATCTTAACTCTTTGAGTACCCATAGCAACCGCAGGAGGGTAAGTACTGATACTATCGTGATTCACAAGTGAGCAGATAGATGATTTCTTGTTGTCAGAGTCAGGAAGTACCTGAGTCAGCCCCAGAGTTCAATTCTGAGAAAGCCCAGATTTCATACTCTTGAACATGATATTATGTTGCTTTCCAACTGGATATCAGTTGCAGAATGTAAATTATTCTTAATTATATAGCTGTTGGTTGAGAAGACTCCATCAATATCTACACTGATGTCTGTGTACTCAGTGTTTATGAAAACTCCAGAATGTAATTTCAGTTGTTTTGAACATGTTGAATTATGCCTATGTGAGACTTGAAATATTTAAAAGATTTTCTTCTTTTCATTTTTAAAATATTTTTATTTAATTAAAAAATTCTTTTTTTAATTCATGTTAAATTTTGGAGAAAGATTGAAAGGTTAAAGTTTCTTGTTTTGGTTATACCTTCCAAATTTACTTGATTTAATGCTTTTTGATCTCATTGCATTTCCCCTGTCCACCTTTACCATTTTTATTTTCTTTTTCTGTCCATGGAGAGTAAAATATATAGTAAAATATATAGTTTCGGGTATCTAGCAGACAGATACAGACTGTCAATATCTGTTTACCTGATTTTCTCTTTCAGTAACTTTTTATTGTTACAAATTTTTAGTAAATGGAAAAGTTGATAGGACATGCAAGGACCACCAGAGTAGTACAATTCTTGGATTCATTAGTTTATCATATATGCCCTGTGTGTGTGTGCATATACATGTGTAAGTGTGCATAAAGCAACATTTTTACATTAATTATATAAAATATAACACTTTAATATTAGGTAGTTTAGCATGCACTGTCGAAGAATAAGAAGATCCTAGGTAATCAAAATGCTACTGTCACATCTATGGCGATTATTTGAAGTAACAAACATGTAAGATGAAACCTAAGAAATTTGTTCAAAATAGTAGCAATATTAAAAATGGTGTGCCTTTGTTATTTAGAGTGGTCATCATTTCTGAAGCACTCACAACGTAGGGGGAAAGTCTTATTTTGCAGTGGAATCACTCATTCTAAATTCCTGAAGAATATGTCCATTGGCAGAGTCTCTGCTATGTTACACTTGACACTGACATGGAGGCAACTGTATAGGGACAGGAAAACAATGATACAACTCAAGCAAAATTCTAGATTTATTTTAAATTGTATGTTCAACTTTTATTAAACTTTTTATTAGCTTCAGTCTCTACAGGCATTAATTTTCTGTGATTTAAGATTTTTAATACTATTATTTAATTTTATCATTTTTAAGGTTAAACTGATATCTTAATAGTTAGAGGAATATACTGTAGTTTTAAATCTATAGAGTAAAACATATACTCCTAATAGTAAAAATATTTACTAAAAATGTGTGTGAAAGGTACACGTGTTTGAAAGTTTTGAAATTCAAACAATGTACAAGTATAGCATTTTTTCTTACTATGTCTTTTTTATTCATATTAATTTGTCTGTACAGATTTTATTGCATTTCTCAGAATTTTTCAATTTCAAAATATATGGCCTTTTCAGTAAAAATTTGTTTTGCATTTTCATTATGTTTTAGAACATGTACGAAATAACCACTCTTCTTCCTTTTATATTTCAATGAACTACCTACACATAATTATATTTCAGTTGCTATAGAATTACTCAAAATTGCTAAAAATATTGCTAGAAACACTTTTGCCACTGATGCTCTTGAAACAATATTTTTTGCAATTTGGTAATTACTCTTTATAATTACTATAATATTAATGAAGACATTTTCTTTTCTCATGATTAGTTCCCTCCTAAATCTATTTATATCTGTTTCAGGCCCATCTAACACAAATGGTTGCTACATAATGGTCATTTAAAACACATAGATGCCATACGTTAAAAATGTTTCTTGTAACTGCTTAGGAATGGATATGTTTAAGTATTATCTCATCTTGCTAGAATGTTCAGTGAAAAATTTCAAAAATGTTTCTGAAGATGCATAGCAGAAATGTGACCAAGTAATGCAAACAATTAAGCAGGTTATTAGCCACTGAACAAGCACTCTAACTTACTTACCTTATAAGGACTTAAGTGATTTTTCCTTTAAAGGACTTGTACGGAAATAGATGTTATTATTATTTTTTAGCTCCAATATAGGAAATTAGGTTTCAGCATTAATTTCAAAGGAAAAGTAGATATTGGAAGGAAATAGCTTAAAGTTTGAAAAGTTTTCTTTCTCTGTGGATTTTGGGCTGCCTTTCATTGTCTTAGCCCGAAAAGACTCCATGAATACACCAGACACTCTAGTGATAGTGATAGAATTTCATCTGTACTTGTTCTAATGACATTACTAGTGACAAATATTTCTCGCTTATTGATTAAGAACTTAAAGAAATAGGTGATAAAATTGCATATTGCATTTTAGGAAACCCCAAGTTAAGAATTATGGAGCTTGGATTTGTGTTGAATGTTATGCTGTTTGACTTATGATATGAACCTACTTTTTCTAGTCTCTATCTGGTAAATTGCACGAAGACACATTTATTTATTTCTATCTTCTTTTTGTACAACCAAATTGTGCACATCTATTTTTATAAATTTTTCAAATTACTTTGCATAGCAGAATGTATTTTGCAGGTGAACATTGTTTTTGGATTCTTATGATTTTTTTCTAATGATAGATTATTGGTTTTTATGGATGAGAGAAACTATTTTTTAAAAGGTTTACAGATATGCTTTTTAAAAGTTTTCAATTTTGGTGAAAACTTCGGAGCAAAACTTGGTGATGCATATTTTCTCTTCCAGTGTTCTTATTTCCACTTGCTAATTTGGCCTCTGGAAATACTCAGTTTGCATTGGGGAAAGAGCTGGAATGCAATCAAGTAGGACAGAACTCCTTGCTGTCATTCTGTATAACAGCATGTGATGTCAAGGTCACAGTGAAGAAAAACATTTCACATTAGCAACAGATGACTCAATTATCTTAATGTCCAAATAAAGTCATTTACGTTGCTCTCGGAATTCTGCTCCCCCACCTTATTTTTAGTTATCTTCATTTATTGCTATAGAATTTTTACCCTCTACAAAGATTTATGGCTACTCATAACTCTAATACTTTAATAGCACATGCAAAAAGATGTTCAAGCATAATCAATGTACTCTATTACCATTAATTATTTGCAATAAGTCTAAAGTATGCTAAATGTAACTTAATTGTTTTCTTTGATTCTTTAAGGTGGACTTGGAGATCATGGTGTATCAAAGAAACGAGGAGCCCTCTACCAGCTTATAGACAGGATCAGAAGAATCGGCTCTGGTATATCAATGTTTAAAGTTGCAGACGCTTGACTTGATGTACAGTAAATATTATACTCATAGCAGTTCAGTTCATTGAAATCAGTATGCAGTATGATGCAAAGAATATGTGTTGAGGGTCTTTTATTCTTTTTTGTTCTGTTGGTTCATATCTGTTGGCTCATTCATTATATAGGAAATTTCAAAATGTTCCCTTAACTTATTTCAGGCTTTTCCCAAGTGAAAATTGATTTGGCGTTTGTTTATTTTATTGTTGATACTAATTTTCAGTTAATTGGACATCACACCAAAGTTTTTATATAAAGCATGGAGCTGATTCAATCTCAATTAAATGTTTTAAAAGTCATGAATATTTGTCTTGAAAAAAATCTACTTAAAAGTTAACAAACTAATTTATTAGGTTGCAAAATAGTTTAAAATGTTTTGAATCTTTGGGAGAAATATATGTAAACATTCATGAAAACTACCTTCTGGTTTCATGATTAGTATTTATAGTGTTTATTAGTCACTATTTGTAGTTAAGAGTTTATGTAAAAGCCCTCTCCTCATAGCTCACATCCGAACATCCCTTAAGTTGGTCATTAAATACTTGAAGTACATACTTTAAGTTACTAATTTTCCCAAGCAAAGATGCTTTGCTCCAGAATATTGAAAAAAAAAAAGAAGACGTGTTAGAGACATTTAATGTATGTAATGTTAATGTGTGTACTAGTGGGAGAGCTTTATCAATTTTAGTATATGTGCTGCTGAAGCGAGCACAGTGGGAGAGCTTTTCTACCAATAGTAATAATTGAATAAAGAGAATAATCAAGCAAATTTAAGAAAAACAAAAACAGTAAAAAATATTATGAAAGGTACTAAGGAAAGTAAAAAAAAAGTAAGTATAGGGAGTGGGCATTAAGCCCAGCTGTTAAGATGGCCACCTCCCATATCAGAGCGCCTGAGTTCAAGTCCAGCTTCCAATTCCAGCTTCCTGCTAATGTACATCTTGAGAGGGGCCAGGCGGATGAGAGCTCAAGTACTTGTGTCCTTGCTGCCCATGTTCTGAGCTCCTGGTTCCCAGCTTTGATGCTCATCCAGCTCTGGCTGTTGGCAGCATTTGGGGAGTCACCTAGTGGATGACAACCTATCTATCTGTGTCTGTCCCTTTTTGACTTTCTGTTTCTCAGATAAATAAATATTAAGAAAAGAGGAAACCTGTAGCCGTGAAAGCTGCTCCAGATTAGACGGTGTTTTATGTTAGCCTGTGTTGACCTCTAAATCGTGATGAGGAGGAGATTAAGATGGACAGAGTTCCTCGTCCCAACTGGACCCAGACTGTCTCTATCTTGATGTTATTTTACTGTCTATAAAATGTAATATTCATAATTTTAGGCTTTCATACAAATAGCAGTCTGATTTAAATATTGGAAGTTTAGCATGAGTAAGGCTAGTTTTGGGTATCATAGGATATTCAGGGTAGCAATATATATTTTATTACCTGTTTGTACATTGTTAGTGAACTACCAAGTTAGCAAACATCAACAATTTTTCTATGACCTAAGTTTTGTCTGGTGTAGGCTGTTGTCTGGAGATTCATCAAAACTCATCGATGGGATCTCAATAAATAATGTTTTGATGTGGATATTTCTACATTGTAATGCTCCTCTCAAGCATGTAATATCCCAAGTTTTTCTTTAATGTGCCTTGATTTATATACATATGTAAATAAGACATTTCATCTTTTGTCCTTTAAGAGGTAAACGGTTCCCTGACCCAGGACGTCTGTTTCACAGAATGTTTTAAATGTCATTGCAGGCTTGGAGCAAAACAGCACAGTTAAGGGAAAAGTACCTCAAAAATTCTCAGGGCCAAATGAGAAAAACCGAGTTCCCAGAGCTGCCACATCAAGAACTGAGAGAATCTGGCCTGGAGGTGTTATTCCTTACGTTATTGGAGGCAACTTCACTGGTAAGTTATTCTCAGAATGTTTACTTTGATGGAGAAGTAAAAGCTGTCATACAGATTAAGTGTGCATGTTCGTAGGATATCGTCAAAAACAGAGTATGAAATCATACTTGTAAAAACACTCCGTTAACCTAGGTTATTAGTTTAAAATGTTTTTGAATTAAAAAAATAAATTTAACCTTGTGCTCTAAGAGTGTAGAGTTCCATTTTTTTTAAGATTTATTTATTTATTTAAAAGGCAAAGTTAAGAGAGGCAGATGCAGACAGAGAGAGAGAGAGAGGTCTTCTATCCGCTGGTTCACTCCCAAGCTGGCAGCAATGGCTGGAGCTGTGCCGATCCGAAGCCAGGAGCCAGGACCTTCTTCACGGTCTCCCACGTGGGTGCAGGGGCCCAAGGATTTGGGCTATATTCTATTGCTTTCCCAGGCCATAGCAGAGAGCTGGATAGGAAATGGAGCAGCTGGGACCCGAACCAGCACCCATGTGGGATGCCAGCACTGCAGGTGGCAGCTTTACCTGTTACACCATAGTGCTGACCCCCCGATTTTGTTTTTAAACTGAATTTCAAATGTGCCCATGAAATCTGGAAGCTGATCTCCTTTCAACTGACAGGGAGAATGTATGTCCCATTTATAGAGACTTGTACACACATGTGCAGAGTGAAGGAGCCTTCATCTTCTGATTATAAAGGGAGTGCCCGTTTTCAACAAGGACCCCTTTGTGGTGCTATGAATCTAGTCATTGGCTGATGATAGCAGTGGCATCTGTATATCACCAAGCCACACAGATCGGAGGAGCCAGCACACAGCACTCCTCTCTGGGGTGGTGGCCACTTTTATTAACATCGTTCAATTTTTCCAGGCAGCCAGCGAGCCATGTTCAAGCAGGCCATGAGACACTGGGAAAAGCACATGTGTGTGACTTTCATTGAAAGAAGTGACAAAGAAAGTTATATTGTATTCACCTACAGGCCTTGTGGGTAAGTAGAGCCCGGAAATGACCTACGTAAGTTTAGCAGGAAAAAATTAAAACTCATGGGTAGGATTTGTTTTGTAATATGTGCTTTGTATTTTGGCCATGAAAGGTGTGATTTTTACATATGCAAATGTTACTCTTTGAGAGGACTTCAAAAATTTATGAAAAAGGAATTAAAATATCAATTCGTATAAAAATTCTGAAAGCTACACATGGAATTTTTAGAACAGACATTTCTCATGAACTTTCTGAAGACCCCACATCTAAACATATTGCTTGAAACAGATCTTTGTGCATCTGACCATGGTGTATTTGTCCACCACCTCAGCTGTTTTATGAAGATCAACTCACGGTTGATCTTTCTTGCTTTACCAATTCACTGCCACTAGAGTTATCTTCTGAAAATACCGGTCAGGGGCTGGTGTCTGGTGCAGCAATTGAGACATGGTTTTGACGCTCTCTGATTCCACCTTCCTGGTAACGCACACTCTAGGGGGCATCTGGCGATGGCTCAAGCAGTTGGGTCCTGCCAGCCTCATGGGCTACCTGGATTAGATTCCTGGCTCCCAGGTTTGGTCTGACCAAACTCTGGCTGCTGGAGGCATTTGAGGAGTGAACCAGTGGAGGGGAGATCTCTGTCTTATTCTCTCTGTGTCCATTCCTCTCTGCATTTCAGATAAATGCGTGATTGATTGAATGAATGAATGACTAAATACTGGCCAGAGCAAGTGCCACTTTCTGAGATTCATTGATGTTTCCACCTAGGGTGATATTTTCTAGATTGTTTTCTTACAGGATGATGAAAAATACTCCAAATAAAATCATTAAGTTTTGGAAGTGCTATGTTAAATTCCAGTAGGTATTTCTATAGCAGAGTGCTAATGAATGTTATTAATATTTAACTAACCGAAAGGAGTATGTTTGCTAAACTTATGTAAATATGGAATATCCACCTCACCTTTTAAAAGAGAAGAACATACCTCAATATCCCAAGAACATTTTGGAAATGCTGGCTTGAGAGTAAAATCCTAAGTCCTTGGTATAACATTTAAGGAACGCCACGAACTTACCACAGCTTCCATTTTTGGCTCCTTCTTCCTCCACATCTCTCCACATATCCCAGAATCCAACCAAGATACAGGACAAGCCGTTTTCCAAGTAATTTATGTCTTAGAAGACTTTTTCTCAAAGAGTTTTCAAACTTCTCTTCCCAGCACTTTTAGTTATTTGGAAATTATATCGAAAGATTTGATTCACTCCAGCTTAAAGTTTTGGCTTGTTTGCCAAGAATACTTGGTACTGGATTAATTTATATTGCATCCCCTCAGGAGGCAAGCGTGCCTGGGTCTGCCGTTCCAGTGACTGCTCTACTGGGTTTAGTGATTGCTCAGTTGAATGGAGTGTTGGTGGGCAGGTGCTTCCATTGTGAATGTCTCCAATATTACAAAACAGTGATTTTAAAATAATTATTTATATAAAGGGAACAGGTTTCAGGTGTTTCATTTATATAGTTTTAAGAACATGATGATAATTCCCACCCACCCTCCTCCTTCCTTTTTGATTTTTCTTTTGATTTTTGGTGATGCCATACTTTGTTTTCCACTTTACTTTATAATCACAAGTTTAATCCTCCATTACATAAAAAATTTATCAAGTAGCAAGTAGAAAGATCCCTGTTTCTCAGGAGTATAGACAAGGGCTATAAGCAATAATCAAATATCAAGATGTCAATTTCACACTTAAAAATTGCCCTTTTTTATACTCTATATATTGTTACCACAACTCAGAGAAACATGATATTTGTTTTTATTTTCTCAAGGCTGGCTTATTTTACTAAGCACAATGCGTCCAGTTCCATCCATTTTGTTGTGAAAGACAGGTTTCATTCTTTTTATGGCTCAGTAGTATTCAGTTGTGTACATATCCATTTTATTTATTCAATCATCAGCTGATGGCCATCTGGGTTGATTCCATATCTTAGTTATAAACAGGGGGTCACAGATCACTCTTTTATATGCTGATTTCATTTCATTTTGGTAAATTCCCAGGAGTGGGATGGCTGGATCATAAGGTAGTTCTGTTTTTAGCTTTCTGAGTAATCTCCATACTGTGTTCCATAATGGTACTAGTTATATTCCCACCAACAGTATCCTAGGGTACCTTTCTCCCATATCCTCACCAACATTTGTTACTTTTACATTTACTTGCTGTGGATTCTAACTGGGGTGAGGCGAAACCTCATTGTGGTTTTGATTTTCATTTCCTGATGGCTACCGATCCTGATGTCTATTGGCCATTTATATTTAATCCTTTGAAAAATGCCTGTTCATGTCCTTAGCCCATTTCTTAAGTGGATTGTTTGTTTTGTTGTTGTTCAGTCCTCTTGAACTCCTTACATATTCTGAATATTAATCCTTTAGCAATTTTAGTTTGAAAATATTTTCTCTCATTCTGTCAGTTGCCTCTTCATTTTGTTGAGTATTTCCTTTGTTGTCCAGGAACTTTTTAGCTTGGTATAATCCCAATTGCTCTCTTTGCTTTCCTTACCTGTGCTTCTGGGTCTTATCCGGAAATCTTGCTCATCCCGTGTCTTGCAGTTTTTCCTTAGGTTTTCCTTTAGTAGTTCAGTAGTTTCACGTCTTAGGTTTAAATCCTTAACACATTGTGAATTGATTTTTGTGTAGGGTAAAGTGAAAGATCTTCTTTCACACTTCTCTATGTGGAAATCAAATTTTCCCCAACAGCATTTGTCAAAGAGACTGTCCTTTATCCAGAGCATGGTTTTAGGCCCATTTATCAAAGATTAGTTCGTTGTGGATATGTGGATTAATTTCTAGAGTTTATATTCTGTTTCATTAGTACACATGTCTATGTTTGTGCCAATACCAGCTGTTTTTGAATATAACTGCCCTGTAGAATGTCTTGGAAATCAGGTATAGTGATGCCTCCAGCTTTGTTTTTATTGTTTAAGATTGTTTAAGCTACTCAGGGTCTCTTGTGTTTCCATCTGAATTTAGGGTCATTTTTTCTAGATCTGAGAAGAATTTCTTTGGTATTTTGATTGGTATCACACTAAATCTGCAAATTGCTTTGGGTAGTATGGATATTTTTGATCTTAATTCTTGTCAATCAATGAACATGGAAGCTTTTTTCCATTTTTTGGTTCTTCTATTTCTTTCCTTAATATTTATAATTTAATTGTAGAAATCTTTCATGTTATTGGTTAATTTATCCCAAGGTATTTAAATATTTTTAGATATTGTGAATGGGACTGATCTCACAAGCTTTTTCACCTATGTCATTGTTTCTGTATACAACGGCTACTGATTTTGTGTCTTGATTTTATATCCTGCAACCTTACCAGATACTCTTATGAGTTTAAGTAGTCTCTTAGTGGAGTCTTTTGGTTTCCCTATGTATAGGTTCATGTCATCTGCAAATAGGGATAATGTGACTTTCTCGTCTCCCATTGGCATCCCTTTGATTTATTTTTCTGACTGTGGCTAAAACTTCTAGAACTATATTGCGTACTAGTGAGAGTGAGCATCCTACTCTGGTTATGGATCTTTGTGGAAATGCTTCCAGTTTTACCTCATTCAGTATAATGTTGGCTGGGGATTTGTCATGTATTTCCTTGATTGCATTTAGGTATGTTCTTTCTATAACCAATTTCTTTGAGGTTTTTATCATGAAAAGATGTTGAATTTCATTAAGTACTTTCTCTGCATCTACTAAGATAATCATGAATTTATTCAATTTGTTCATGTAATATATCAAGTTTATTGATTTGCATATGTTGAACCATCATTGTTCTTTTATTCTTTCCACATTTATTATCTGAAATTTTTCCACATAGATGAATTTTCTCTAATCTACCACAGTCATTTGAATACCCTATAGTGTAGTTCAGTTAGGCAAGTCAAAATAAATGCTTAGTTTTGCTAGAGAAAATAGTTTTTGAGCTATTGACATGCACTTCTGGAGGAAAAATATATATTTTCAGTAGTTCTTAGAGAGGGGCATTGTGTTATTTCTGTACATTATATTTGCCTAGATCTCTTAACTTAAAAAGGTAATATATATTAGTTTTGACTTATTTGACAGTAAGAAAAAATTGTACATCAGTACCTTCATGGATATTTTTGGATAGTGCCATAAATTTTTAGTTATGACTTACTCAGCACTGATTCCTTCTAAATCACTCTATATTTGGCTTGAAAACTTTGTTTACATCTGAAATTCTTCCTAGTATTTTCTATTGATTTGATATTTAAAAGGCCCAAATAGTGACTGTCCTTCTATCCTTCCAGTTATTTAATAAGAATGGTTTGTGGGGACAGCGCCGTGGCTCACTTGGTTAATCCTCCACCTGCGGGGCCGGCATCCCGTATGGGCACCGGGTTCTAGTCCCGGTTGCTCCTCTTCCAGTCCAGCTCTCTGCTGTGGCCTGGGAAGGCAATGGAGGATGGCCCAAGTGCTTGGACCCTGCAACCGCATGGAAAACTGAGAGGAAGCACCTGGCTCCTGGCTTCAGATTGGCGCAGCTCCGGCCATAGCGGCCATTTGGAGGGTGAACCAACAGAAGGAAGACCTTTCTCTCTGTCTCTCTCACTGTCTAACTCTGCCTGTCAAAAAAAAAAAAAAAGAGAGAGAGAGAATAGTTGTAAACTCAGCTTACATGTTTTTAAATACAAAATATATTCAGATCTATATATCTTTCCTCTCTCCCGCCTTCCCATTCTAAAAAATAAGCACATCCAAAGCACTGATAACTTACTCTGTTTTTTCACTCAGTTTTTGAGTGCAATAAATTCATTTTTGTACACATTTCTTTGATTTGTTGTCAGAGTTCCTCAACACTTGTGGCTTTTTTTTTTTTTTTTTTTTTTTTTTTTTTTTTTTTTGACAGGCAGAGTGGACAGTGAGAGAGAGAGAGAGAGACAGAGAGAAAGGTCTTCCTTTGCCATTGGTCACCCTCCAGTGGCTGCCGCAGCCAGCACGCTA